TCTTAATGTAGTTTATGAGTTTTGGATTTAAACTAACTTTGAGTAATCTCCATTACTTGCAGAATTTGAATTATTTAAATCAGATTGGTGCTTCTACTACTATAACGAATCAATTTCTTCAAATAATACTGTTAATCTGACAATCAATTGTACAAATGATCTATCTTAAGATAATTCCACAAGTATATGTATAGCTGCTATTGACTCTAATGATCCCTACAACATTTATCAAATCAATAACGGAACTCATAGTGATATTGACTGCAGCAATATTACGATAATTCTGGATCTAGATACAAATACCAATACAACTTAATGCAATCTTCAAAGTTGGGAGTTAGTAAATACCTCTAGAAATTCAACTAAATAAGCAACTTGTGGTATGAAAGCAAAGTACAATAGAGATTCTAGCCTTGAATTTACCAAAAGTAAATTCTATATTATAAAAGAAAATTATTCAAATGATACATACCTTTTATCTTTCAAGGTAAGGAGATGGAATCATTTTGCTTTGCAAATTTAAGACCTAAAGGATTCTAACAATGTTATAACTACATAGACCAAGATTTATATGAATAGGATTTATGAGTTTACTTATGAAAATATACCATAGATGAAGAGTCTTTATCTTTTGTCCCAAAATAAATTTTTCTAAGGATCCCTAAAAGAAGTAAAGGCTTATACCTATTCTTATGGGGAAGAAGAAGACCTGCTATACTTAATATTTAAAAATCATTTGAATATAATTTCACATCCAGATCTTATTCCAAATCTTGAAGTATATCTTAGCCTTACAGATGTTACAAGCAGGGCTGCTAGTTACCCTCCTTCCTTAACCTATGAAAACTTTATGATAAAAAATCATGTCTAGAATGGGAATACAAATATATAACATGATGTTTAGTTCTTTAAAAATGAACTGATATTTGAAAGTGACATACACTATGATCTTACGTTTTGTAGAAACGGCCTTTATCATGATGGGAGTTAGTGTAGATGTAAGCTTAAAATAGTAATTGCTCAAATTAAAATAAATTTTAGAGGATAACAAAATTTTGAAGCCAAGCGTTAATAGTGTTTAATTGCAATCTGCAATACTTGGTGAGATTTTAGAAAATTTTAATTCTATTTTTTTCTGGGTGAGCATTTTTTTAGCAAAATATTAACCTTTTAGTTTAAACATATAACGCCTGATTACGATAATGGCTAGATCATAATAGATTCTCTTTAATTTATGTATCTATTGTTAATTGTAATTTTTTAGAAAATCAGAGAATCCAGCTGCCAATATAGAATTCAATTCTATAGTT